AGTCCGAACTTTAATTAGGTAGAGTACTACAACACTAGGGTGGTGGGTAGGGTCGTACTAAGTACTATTACCTATATATATATATATATATATATATATATATATATTTTTTTTTTTTTTTTTTTTTTTTATTTTTCATTTGGAAGGTGATGCTATTTATCATTGCAAAATTTCTCCCATGGAAAATAAGAACTGAAATTTTAGGTTGGTTGCTGACTGCTTAACTTCAAATATGTACAACTGGGTTTCTGGTACACTGGTAGGTTGCTTATGGCTTACTGTTACAACTTGGGCTTGACAAACGATAAGCCAATTGCTTCCATTTGATTTTTTGATATTGCTTTAGAATCTTTTATGTACACTAGATTGCTGAGAAATAGAAGAACCTTAAGTTGATTTCTTCGAGAAGCTAACATTTTTATTTTTCGTTTGTTTACTTGTCAAGTGATCACAACTAGTGTGAGACAGTTGGAAGATTGGATTCAGTCAGAAACTGAGAAGTTCACGGCTTTGCTAGAGCAGAGGCACTCAACAGAGCTTGATGCATTTGTTGAACAGATGAGATTCAAGGATGAAAAGCTGGAAACATTTCGGTGGCAGATGCTGAGCATGGAACTTGAATCGAAAAGATTTCAATCCCGCATTGAAGAGCTTGAGGAGAACTTATCACAATTTAGAGAAGAGGATCTAAGGCTTCGGTCCTTGCTAGTTGAGAAGGAAAAAGGCATAGATACACTCAAAGAGCGGTTCGGCTTGCATGTAAGGCATTGTCGGAACAACTGTACCCCTGATGAGGTGAATTCTCCTCTATTACCCATGGCCATGTTGTCAGAAGTGAAGGCCATGAAGAGGAAACTGAGAGAGAAGGAACAAGAGCATAAAACCACATTGGTCAATGTTTCTCATGAGGTGGGATCTGAAGTCCCAGAGCGAGAAAGTAGATTCACAGTCATGGGAAAAATGATGGTGCGGAAGAACTTAAATGAGAGAGAATGCAGTGAGCCTGAACTCCAAAAAAGGGAAAGCAGACTGGCCATCTTGGGAGCAAGGTTGATTCAAAAGAATTCAAATGAGAAAGAGTGCAAGGACAGAGGCGTTGTGGTCGCAGTTGTTGAGGATGCTTCTAAAGCCAAATTGGCAACATGGTCAAGAGCTATGATGGAAATAAGGGGAGAATCACCCAAAGAAGAAGACAATATCGAGGACCAATTTCAAGGCATGGGCATGACTACCAAAGAGACTGAATGGAAGAAAGAGGCTGACATAGATGAAAATGAGAAAAAAGTTTGTCAAGATAAGGCTGATGTTTCAAGTAAATATGATCCACTTGAGAACTGGTTGCTCAGGAAAGATGCAGCTAGAAAGGTAGATGTCCATGCTTTAGGAGTTTCTTATAAAATCAAAAGACTGAAACAACATCTTCTTATGCTCGAGAAGCTGATGGAAACAGATGCCTCAAAGAAGCCAGGTGGTAGAGATGAGGTGATTTATGTTCTCGAAAACTGCGAAAAAAGGAAAATTGATCAACAAGGAGATATTAAGGGCCTGATAAGTATAATATCTTTACTCAACAAACAAGTTAGAAGATACCAAACACTTGAAGAAAAAACTGAAGACTTGTGCAAGCGAATGGTAAGATTTTAACATATCTGGCCCAGTTAAAAAGGTTCAAAAGATTTCTTTCCAAGCAAAACACACAAAAAATAAACAAACAAGTAGAACCCATCATGGAAAATGTACCTGAGTTGGGAAGCTATGCTATAATCCAGGACTAAGACAAAACCATCTCTTTGGTGCTCACCGTCCAATCATTTGATGGATGGTGATGGAGAGAGAATGTGACCCACCATAAGGATCACAATTTTCTGCCGGGACCCACGCTCTCTCCATCACCATCCAGCCCTTTATTGGATGGTGATGATCCAATAGATTTCTCCTATAAACTTGAGGAATTCATGATATACTTTCCCGTCTGGCTCCATTTCCTTGGAGTCTTTGCTCATAACTGTTTTGTTTCAGAGTATGAATGATAAGGAGGAAAGTGCTAGTGACTCTAGTTATGGAAGGACAAGGGAGCAAACTGAAGCATTGGAACAGTTCCTTGAAGAGATATTCCAATTGCAAAGATACATGGTAGCAACAGGGCAGAAACTAGTCCAAATACAATCTGAAATTACATTCAATCTTGTTGGAAGTGCTGATAAAGTTGAAGAACCAATTGGGATTGACATGAGGCAGTTTGCTGACAATGTGAGAAGCCTCTTTAGAGATGTACAGAGGGGTTTGGAGGTCAGAATAGCTCGGATTATCGGAGACCTTGAGGGCACATTGGCTCGCGAAGGGATACTTCATTTGAGAAACTAATAGAGTCCTTGACGGAAAAATGGCAGTAACATTGGTCTCTGTAAGAACTCTCTCTCTCTCTCTCTCTCTCTCTCTCTCTCTCTCTCTACGTTTGTCATACTCTGGGTGAATGCCTATACTTCATATTGCTGTCTTGATGAATGCTCATGTTTCCCTTAATACTCTCTCTCTCTCTCTCTCTCTCGCACATGAACGTTCGTAAATTTTGCCTTGCTGTCTTGGTCAATGCTTATAATTCCCTTAATACTTTCCCTCTCTCTCTCACTTACACGTGAGTTTGTATTACTGTCTCAATGAATACTTGTGCCATCCTCTCTCTCATACACTCATGAATTATGTATTTCTCTCTCTCTCTCTCACTGCATGGGGCTCAATTTCAGGATTGAGCAAGCAAGTCAAAGGAAGACATTGATTTTCATATTGGAAGCCAAATGATGAAAAAGGCATCAGATAGAGTGGAACGTTTGTTTCAAGAAATGAATATAAAGAAAAATATGGACTCTAGTGGTATGTAACGAGCAACACCCTATGTGAAATTGAATGTCCAAAATGCATGAGTATATATAGCTCTCCATACACATACAAGAAGGGCCAGTCCCCCTTCGTTCAATGAAGGGTTTCTTGTAAAGAAATATCAAGTTCAAACACCTTGTATTTATGGAAATCGGTTGTTTTTCATTTCGTTTCCTCTCAATCTACAAATTTATCTTCCTTTCTTGCTATGCAACACAGTTACTGCTGCTTTCTCTCCATGTCCTCAGAAACCCAATCGTTTGGTTGGCCTGTTGTAATTCATATATATGTATATACATTTTAGTTAAAAAATACATAGTATAATCTAATGACCAAAAAAAAAAAAAGAATGGCAAATAGGATTACTTCCAAATTATAGAAATGACTGAAATTGCTACCTGTTCACTCCAGTTCGCATTCCATGTAGCATACAAGACAATCAGAACCTGTAAGGCTTGTCCAGCTATCATTCCAGACCATATACCCTGTTTTGAAATGATCAATCTTGGCTTCACAAAGCCAAAATAAATATATAAATAAATAAATTGAATAAAAATGAATATGTTTACTAACACACGTACCGTAATCCCCATTTGAAATTTGAAGCAGATAAGTAGGCCTAGAGGGAGACCCACCAAATAGCAAGATATGATATTCACATAAGCAACATAAGATTGCCAGCCACTTCCTATTGCAACACCTGCTTCTTCAACCCATTAGGAAAAATGATTTTTCTCTCATATAAATCTCTCTCTATCATTAGATTCCAAGAAGCAAAATATTTCTCTCACCAACAATCTGCAGAACCAAATGGTGAATTCTGATAGAATGTTTACCTGAAAGAACTGACTGCACTCCATTGAGAAGAACAGTAGCGGCGAGGAACGGAACCAACTCTGAGACTCTCTCTGCAACAGCTGAGCTATTTATAAAGAGGTAGCCCAGCTTGTTCCTCAACAGAAGAAAAATGAGGGCGAGCAAGATACTGACAATTGAGGATGCTGCCATTGCTATAGAGACTGAAAAACTTGCTGCCTCTGAATTTCCAGCACCGAGCTCATTTGAAACTCTTATGCTGAGAGAGAGAGAGAGAGAGAGAGAGAGAGAGAGAGAGAGAGAGAGAGAGAGAGAGAGGAGGAGGAGGGAGGGAGGGAGGAG